GGTGGACTCTTCAAGAAGATATAAAGGTTCAGATTGTGAGAGTAAATCCAGTAATTTATTTCCTGGAGACCACTTTCTAGCATTTTGATTAGGTTTATGGAAAAATATATCCAAGTTCTGAATATATTCTTCACTTTTTATGATCGTGTATGACTGACAATTAGTAGATTTGCTGCATTTGAAATTTGCTGCATTTGAGATTTGCTGCATTTTATGACTATAATACATTTAGGTTAATTTATATTTTCATGATTGCATATACGTTATAAATGCAAACAAATGCAAATACAAAGAAACACAAAACAAACAGATTTTGATACAGCAAACAATAATGGAATAACCTGCCCATAAAGGAAGCTTATTCTTAGGCCCAGTCAGTTAGTGTATGGTTTATGCCTTGAATCATGAAGGTTTCTATCTCTTATACATTTTTATCCTATGTTACCTAACTGTGGAAGTTATTATCCAGATAAATGTTTGCACTCTCTGATGTCCATGGCAGTTTGCCTGACTAAATGGTGCAGGATCAGATCTATAACTTACAAAACATTTGAAATCATTTATACATAAAAGATTGTGTTATATTAATTAGTAATAGAAGCAATTAATACTATCTACAGCAGAAAACTGTTCTGGCCCCTCCAACTCAAACTGGTCTGGCTTTGCTGAAGTTTATATGGCTCAGCATGAAGCTGACCTCTGAAATATAGACCCTTAAAATTTAGTTCAAAACTGACTGCAGAAAACCTTGAAACTGGTGTTTGACCCGCAAGGAAGAAAGCAAACTCTCCGTGTCTTTGAATTCTGATTTTTTCATGAAAAACCAGTCACATTCATTTCCAAATTCCAGTAGTATTTTCAGCAAGGTCCCAAAGAAGATGTCATGAGTTGCAGCTGTCAGAATGCTGTTAAATGCTGCTGTGGATTTAGGATTCCTATATGTCCTAAAGATGGAGCGTATTTTAAACTAAATTATAAAGTAGAACATTATTTTAAAAAGTATTTACTATTTAAAAACAACTCTTCCTTTGACTAGTAATATCACCATGTTTTTTTTAAAGTCATGGAATGGTTTATATTAAAAATGTGCTATAATAGCATTAACATTTGTTAGGGGAATTGCCAAGGTGCTCAGTTCTAATAAACGCTTGTCAGTCAACTCACAGTATACTTCAGGGATGTAAGTATATAATATATTATATTTCAAAAACTTATTCAGGTTGCAAAGTCAAGTACTCAAAAATTAAGAAATGGGAGAATTAACTTTAATGCAACTTTAATTCTGCTCCCTGTGTGTATGAATTGAACACAAATTGAAATCCTAGCCCCAGAGAAGTAAATGGCAAAACTCCCACTGACTTCAATGGGGCCAGGATTTCAACTACAGTCTTTAATTACATGATTATATACTATTTTTTCCACAGTGCCAAAAGGGTATTTTGATAGGGTGAGCTAGGGCCATTTTGTTTGTATTTGGTGTGGCTGCTTCAGAATGATGCATGAGATACAGCAGGGCTGGGGAGCATGCATAGTGCCAATGGAATATTCAGAGATATAGGGTGGGTAATATCTTTTATTAGACCAACTTCTGTTGGTGAGAGAGACAAGTTTTTGAGCCACAGAGAGCTCTTCTCAGGTCTGAAGAAGAGCTTTTGTGGCTCAAAAGCTTAAGAGCTCTCTGTGTCTCAAAAGCTTCTCTCTCTCACCAACAGAAGTTGGTCGAATAAAAGATATTACCTCACCCACCTTGTCTCTCCAATATCCTGGAACTGACATGGCTACAGCTACACTGCACACAATAATAGAATATTTAGAAAGTTAATGAACAAATCTCGAACAGGTTCTACGATGCATCTAAAAATGACAACTTTCTCTAGCTTGTAGCTTGACTAAATTTCAATGAATTTTCATAAAACCAGCAAAAGGCTGATCCAGGACTATCCTCCTCCCTAATTTCAAGTTCCTGCTCTAAATCAAGGAGGGGCTAGAGCTCTTTAAAAAATAGCTTGAGGAAAAATTTTAATATTAGCAAAATTACCTCTAACCTCATTCTCAAAACACCTGTACCACTTTTGCTGAAACTTTCCAGTCAAATTCCATCTCAGGCAAAAGCAGAGCATAGAAAATATTCCAAGATACACCATGGCAGTTCAACCAGAGGAAGACTAGAGATCATAGGGGATGTGGTTCAGCCACCAAGTCCAGCCCACAGAGAAGAATGGGAGCATAAGGCACCTGAATGGGAGCATGAGGCGAGGCAACATAGTGACAGATGATGTGGAAAAAGCTGAAGTACTCAATGCTTTTTTTGCCTCGGTCTTCACAGACAAGGTCAGCTCCCAGACTACTATACTGGGCAACACAGTATGGGGAGGAGGTGAGCAGCCCTCAGTGGTGAAAGAACAGGTTAAGGACTATTTAGAAAAGCTGGACATTCACAAGTCCATGGGTCCAGATCTAATGCAGCCCAGGGTGCTGAGGGGGTTGGCTGATGTGATTGCAGAGCCATTGGCCATTATCTTTGAAAATTCATGGCGATTGGAGGAGGTCACAGATGAAAAAAGGCAAATATAGTGCCCATATTTAAAAAAGGGAAGAAAGAGAACCTGGCAAACTACAGACTCACTTCAGTCCCCAGCAAAATCATGGAGCAGGTCGTCAAGGAATTCATTTTGAAGCACTTGGAGGAGAGGAAGGTGATCAGGAACAGTCAACATGGATTCATCAAGGGCAAGTCATGCCTGACCAACCTGATTGCCTCCTATGATGAGATAACTGGCTTTGTGAATATGGGGAAAGCAGTGGATGTGATGTATCTTGACTTTAGCAAAGCTTTTGATACCGTCTCCCACAGTATTCTTGCCAGCAAGTTAAAAAAGTATGGATTGGATGAATGGACTATAAGGTGGATAGAAAGCTGGCTAGATTGTCAGGCTCAATGGGTAGTGATCAACGGCTCGATGTCTAGTTGGCTGCCGGTATCAAGTGGAGTGCCCCAGAGGTCGGTCCTGGGGCCGGTTTTGTTCAACATCTTTATTAATGATCTGGATGCTGGGATGAATTGCACCCTCAGCAAATTCTCAGATGACACTAAACTCGGGGGAGAGATAGATATGCTGGAGGGTAGGGATAGGGTCCAGAGTGACTTAGACAAATTGGAGGATTGGGCCAAAAGAAATCAGATAAGGTTCAACAAGGACAAGTGCAGAGTCCTGCACTTAGGAAGGAAGAAACCCATGCCCCGCTACAGCCTGAGGACCAACTGGCTAAGGAGCAGTTCTGCAGAAAAGGACCTGGGGATTACAGTGGATGAGAAGCTGGATATGAGTCAACAGTGTGCCCTTGTTGCCAAGAAGGCCAATGGCATATTGGGCTGTATTAGTAGGAGCATTGCCAGCAGATCGAGGAAAGTGATTATTCCCCTCTATTCGGCACTGGTGAGGCCACACCTGGAGTATTGCATCCAGTTTTGGTCCCCCCACTACAAAAGGGATGTGGACAAATTGGAAAGAGTCCAGCGGAGGGCATCGAAAATGATTAGGGGGCTGGGGCACATGACTTACGAGGAGAGGATGAGGGAACTGGGTTATTTAGTCTGCAGAAGAGACGAGTGAGATTTGCCAAAATTAAATTGTTTATTTTATAACAGTGGTTTTCAACCTGTGGTCTATGGACCGTTGGGGGTTCACAGACTATGTCTAAGAGGTCCATGAAAGGTTGTCATTACCATAGAACAGTGGTTTTCAACCTGTGATCGGCGAACCCTTGGGGATCTGCAGGCTATGTCTAAGATTTCCAAAGGGGCCTGCACCTCATTCAAAAGTTGTTAGGGGTCCACAAATGAAAAAAAGATTGAAAGCCATTATTTTATAATATTATGCCTTGTTTGAGGTCCTAAGGAAAGAATAGTCATAATAATCTCAGCAGTATGTTTGCTTTCCAGGCTCACAAGGCTAAAGTGAGAAAAACTTTACAAACATATTTCAAGGGTTTCTAAAACACATTCAAGCAAGTTTCAAGATCAGCCAAATATTTTGATCCTCATGAAAAATAACAAGAGTCCAATCCTGTTCTTATTCACGTCAACAGCAGCTATATTAGGGCCCACAGGAGTCTTTTGCTTATTTAAAAAAATGTGTCTTTTAAAATCTATTTCTAATTGTAGTTCTGTCTTTCCAACCCGCAGCATATATCAGTGAAGTCTAGACCTCTTTGGGCCCAATATAATCATATGATTAATCATGCAAGTTTATGGTCAAATTTGGGTCAGTAAATGTATAATACAATATAAAAAGTAACCTTTGTGGGTTTGTATATTAAATCAAGGCTGCACTGTGTAATTTAGTTACATTTAAAAGAGTTGTTTATAATCCTTTATGTATTTTGACAAATCCAGCTGCCAAACAGTATCTAAACACTATTCTGATATATAAGTGGCCTTAACAATCATAAACTGATTTGAGCCTCTGCCATGAATGAATGTTAAATTCAAGCCCTAACACTCAACTCTAGAAGGGCTATTAAATCATCACATAAAGACTGGGTAAATCATGGGAAATATTTTCTGTATAAACAAAGGAAGAAAAGGATATGGTCCCAAAATAATAGTTATCAATCTGATCCATAAAGAGAATAGCAGTCTTTTCAAAATTCGCTCTCTTCATTTCTTTAATTCTGTCCTCAGTTGTCTGAAGGACACCATCCAAAATCAAATTCTATTGTATTTTATTTGTAACCAGGTGCTGCTAAATACACAAGGACACACCTTGCTATGGTAGGTCAGAATAACTTGCAAAAGAGGATACATTGTATCTTCATAAGAAGAAACCTAAAAATGATGTCTTGACATTTGCTTTTGAACATAGACTGAGTTTCATTTCCCTTTCCTTTATACTTTGCTTATTAATAAATAGAAAAGCAGTAATTAGAAACAAACACACTGATACGTTGTGAACCTGTTAAAGAACAGCAGTTAAAGTGTACCCGTTGTTGCTTCCTACCTTATATACATTGATAGGAATATCAATGACAATATAGATAAGATCTCCGAGTGCCAGGCTAGCTATCAGCGCATTGGGGCCATTCCTCATACACTTGTTCTGGTAAATGATCCTCAGCAAAGTTGCATTCCCAACCAATCCAACGATGAAAATAATACAAGATATCACTGTGTTAATGTATTTGAAAGTGTCAGCAATTTTGGCCGGTTCGGAGCAATAGTCTGTTTTGTTGGGTACCATGGGTCGGATAGTAGTAAGGAGTAAGCTGGGCTCTAGTCCAGAGTAGGTGGTCAAATAGTTTCCAGAATCACTCAGATTGGTGTAATATCTGTCAGAACTGTCGCTGAGGCCACATCCAGCGACAAGCAGTAGCAAGGAGACTCTTAAACAAAAGGCTTCCATCCTAAAGTCTTGAATGGCAGGCACAATCAATGAAATACTTCTTTCAATGTTTCAGTGTGATCCTTCTCACTTCTTCACCTATATGGAGAAACAAAACACAGATTGACAATCATCTTATTTCTCATTTCAAAAGAAGTGCTTGTACAGCTTGTTTTTTATACTAGTTAAGCTATCTTGGATAATAGATTACAAAATGAGACAGAAAATCCCCAGGGCATTTGAGGGGTAGTGCTAAAGAAATCCTGCCATATCACAAAAGTGTGTAGGAGTATTTGTCTATATAAGGGATAAAGCATTCCAGACAACAAGTGGTGGATAAGAGTTTTGTCACAAGACTTAGGCTTCCAAGTCGAGTAAATCAGCATGGGATGTCTTGGCGGCATTACTGATACTTTAGTCAAAAAAAAAAATTAAATTTTCCATAGCTGGAGTTCTGCTAAATAACAAAGCCACAACCCTAAATTCATAAATTCTATTTAAGGCTAGAATGTATTATTATTATTTGTTTTAATATTTGGTGTACTGCAAAAATGATTCTATAGACCTATTTTTCTTTGCCATAATCATTAGCTGGCTTTTAAAATTTAAAAGCCCTGAATATATAATTTTCAAATCCAGTTCATGAATAAGTAGTTCATTTAGTGCCAGATCCAAAGCCCTCAGAAGTGAGTGGGGAGACTTATATTGACTTCAGTAGGCTTTGGATCAGGTCCTTAATGCTTTTAAATCTGCTACATATACCAGTAGGCTAGTAGAAATTTATCCTGGATATTTCAGAATTCCAGTGCAGCTCATGTTCAGATGTTAGCCATAGATAAGTTAATTATAATTATATAAAAAGAAAACATGATCGATATTGCATACTAAATACTTGGCATGGCATTCCAAGGAATAACCCATGAAATCTGCAGCTTGTAAAGGGCACATCAGTAGCAGGACATTCTTCCACCACAAGTGTGACCCTGAGTAACAGAAAAGTCTGTGGCCTATTTACTGCAGTGGAGGAAGGTTATCATCAATATTAGTAATGCTGCATCATGCTTCAGGTCATAGAAACCATTCTGGGATTCTCTTTTGTGAAGTTTAGTGTGCACTCCCAAGCCCCAGAGATTTTTTCCCCTTCCCTTCAGCTCAGTGTGACAAACTATCACAAGACATCTCTGTGTGAGCTAGGATAAAGTCAAGGGCAGTGTTGAGCCAAACTGGAGATTCAAAAGTCCAGTGTTGCATAATATTACTAGGAGAACTTGAATGAAGGAGTTGCAGAGATACTTTTAAGTTAATAAATTCCAGTATATGTGGAGATTCCCGAATAACAGTGAAGAATTTACAGTAGAAAGCAATGAGAGAGAGTTCACTGACACTGGGCCTTTGGGCACTATCATAATACAAATATTTAGTACTACTACCTACTATGCTCTTCCATTCCAGTAGGTGGAATGTAAAGAGTCATGAGTGTGTAACAGGAGCATACATATCCCTAATGCGTGTGTGTGTGCGTATTTTGCATAGAGTATATGTATGCCTGTGTTTGTCCTCAGTGGTACAAATTCTGACTCTACTACATTGGTGTAGCTAAAATCATAATCTGGCCCACTATATTAGTCTGTGTATATGATCTTAAACCTTAATGAACTGGATATCTGTCTAAGATATTTATTTAAAAAATGCTTGTTCTACTGGTATCTCAGGACCACTAGCAATACTTTGCACCGCTTTAGTGCTTTCAGTTTAGGATTTTAAAGCACTTCGTAACAATTTTACAACAACAATTTTACAAATGGGGAAAACTAAGTCACCGAGAATTGCAGTGACTTATCCCGTTCATACAATAAATCAGTAATACAGTGATACAGCCAGGTATAGAATCCAGATCTGATTTCTCTTTCTCAATTTATGAACTTTTTATGTGCAAATTTGATATATTACTTATATACCACATAAATGTGATGTCAACATGGCAGTTGTACAAACAGCATGAGGAACGATGGACAAAATACCCAAGACCCCAAGAAGAAACTTTTCCTGAAGAGGTAGCAAAATCAAAAAAAAAAAAAAAGATTCCCATATACTAATTTCCAAGAACATGGATTCATGATATACATATTCAAGATATGGAGTCACTGACAAATCCTCCATTACTATGTGCTTGTTTTCAGTATGCCTGTATGTATGTGTAATAGCAGTGCACAAGCACCCCATTGCATGCAATATAATAATACTTGTGTTAACTGTCTGTAAGAATACAATATAATAGCCCATTGTATTTATGTAATCTCAGTATCTACAATAGCTAAGGAATTTCTGTGCATTTACAGGCCATATGCATGTGGTGTCAGTGTGTCACTAACACAATGGTACACAAAATTTCTTACAAGCAGCATGGGACGCTGAAAACAAAACTCCTAACTTCCCGGCAACAAATATCCTGCTAGGGAGAGTAAAGCCAGGACAGTCCCCATGCCAAGATTTCCAAAACCAAACCGGGCAGTTTGAAATGAATTGTTTAATTGATTAAACACTATTGAGATGTGTAAACATTCAATTCATTAAATTAAAAAGGCCAAAAGGCACACGAGGTTTAAAATGGGATCTAACAAACTTAACTAGGATGGAAGTTTCAAAGCAATTACAATAAAAAGTACTGAAAAAAATAATTTTCTTCTAGTTAGATCTCACTAAGCAAAGTGTAATTGGTTGTGGGATATCTGCCCTTTTCCCTTCTTCCAACACAAAAGAAAACACCCTCCCTTCTAGCACTGTCAAAAGATCAGTTCCAAAATACAAGTGGCAAAGCATTACAATCCACAACTCCCCTTCAGTACTGGGTAACTGACATGCTCTATATATTTTAAACTTTTTAAAATAACATTTATTGCAAAGGTAAAATAAGATGCCTGATAACTAACACACACTTTTATCATCATCACCCAATCCCTTTCTGAATTGTTAAGGATAAGTGCTAAAACCATACCATGAAGCTCCCTCTAGGCTCTCACCCGGGGAATATGCAGCTGCTTCTGCCCCCAATTCCGTGCATAGGAGACTGCAAACCCACTCCAAGTGTAGTTCAGGCTGCTGCTGAGAATTTCCTCAGTGTGGCTTCTCCTGGGGAAGCCTTACCAAATCCTCCTTTCTCAATGTGACTGGGTGGGATTGGAAATCTCCACCTCCGCTGTATCAGCAAGAGAGGGAGAGAGACAGAGATGTCAGAACGTCCCCTCTTTCTGTCCCCTCCCCCATTTACCCCCTCCTCCCCAAACCTCCAGCCCAGACTGAGACCCTGCCAATGTTAAACACAAAGGCTGCCTCCCGGGCACAAGGGAACAGTGAGTTCTTTAACCATTTCCTCCCTGAAATAGAGTTAACCTAATGTGCTGGGTTCATTTAAGCAATAGATCTTAGAAATCCACTACAGTAGCTTTCTGCTAAAGAAGCCCAGGACAGCCCATTGAAATACTGGACAAATGAGCGAAATAGGAGGCATAAGACTGATAAGCACAGTGGGAAAACATTGGCTCTTGAAGATTTCCATAATCTTTGCTTTGTAATTTCCCATTTGTTATGATTAAAAGACTTTTACAAGAGACTCACTAAAATATGATTTGTAAAGTGTTAAAAAACCTGTATCCAGAAAGTCAGATTGCCCAGAGGCAGAATTCTCCAAACTGTGGTCCATGGATAGCTTGGTGGTCACATGTTGCTATATTTCCTCCTCCCGATTTCCAACTGCTAAAATGCATTAAAAAAGTCAGTGAAAATACATTACTTTTCCTAATATTGCTATGTTTCCTAATATTTCCTAGTATTATTCTTCCAGGTGAGCAATATCTTGTGTAGTTGTAGTTGCCTCAGAGATGTTAAGCATTTGTGAATGGGAGGGCATACTGTCCATGGAATTGCAGATGAGAAAGGAGATGTCCATGAGCCAGTCTCTCTATTCAAATGAGGTCCATGCTATCAAAAGTTTGAGAAGCCCCACCTTATGGTCATGAACCTTTTTCATTCTGAGAAAAATATGATTATCTCACCGAAGGCACCTGTCTCCACTCACAGGGCCTTAGGCACAGTAAAAAATTTGGGCTAGGATAAGTGTCGTATTAAAGCAATCCAGGAATGCAAGCACACTACAATCCAGGGCTCTGTGGGTATGTCGACACAACAACAACAACAAAACCCCACGGCTGGCCCATTCCAAGCAACTTGGGCGCATGAGGCTTGAGCTGCAGGGCTGTTTCATTGCTGTATAGACTTCTGGACTCGGGCTGGAGCCCGAGCTCTGAGACCCTTCCACCCCACAGAGTCATAGAGTTTGGGCCCTAGCCCGAGCCCGGACTACACAGCAATGAAACAGCCTCGCAGCCCGACCTTGAGTTGGCTGGCATGGGCCAGCCACGTTTTTTTCTTTGCTGTGTAGACATATCCTATCTGGCCCAGGGTCCACCTGCGGTTGGTGTGGCAAAAGCAGAAGGGCCCACTTCTCTCTCAGAGAAACAGAGGTGTCAGGGCCTTTCTCCACCCCCCAAAAATGGCAGCAGGGGCCAATGTCTCTTTGGGAGCAGCAAAGGTCCTCTTTCTCCAGTAGAGAGGCAGAGGAGGCAGCAAGTGATAGCCTGGTCCTTACCCCAGCAGTTGAGGTGCACCTGATTGGGTAAGTGGGAAGGTCCTTCCCAGAATGTTCTGCTGGGATGGTGCTGATAGTGCCTCTCCCTACCAACCTGACCACTCTTAGCAGTAGGTCTTGGAGTTAACACCCCCATTGAAATGAATAGGGCAGTTTACTCCTCTTGGAGCTATTGTTTCAAGATCTCTGCAGACTCCTGCAGATGTTCCAGTATCAGATACATTTAGCTTATGTTTTCAAGCTCTTCTTTTAAGCCACCAGGGCTGGAAATATTTTTTAAATGAAAGCTCAGATTTTGATGTAATCACATGACTCCCAGAGCTTGGGTCTAGGCAAAGGCCTGTAGTGCCCATGTTTTCATTCAGCCCTGGCTGAGATGATCTGATACTCCATGAAAGCTAACCAATGTTGTTTTTGAGCCCCTGGCTGAAGCCTTTTAAGATCTTCATTTCAAGAGCTAATTTTGTCTTCCCAAATGGTTACACCAGTGGAATAGCTTTATAAACTTTTGTGGACTCCTTTTTGAGCACTAAAAGACAACCCTGCTCAATTTGATGTCAACATTTGCAGTTCTAAAAGAATAGGAACAGATTAGGAAGAATGGATCAAGATGGTGGAGCCACACAGTCTGCAGAATGTGGAGATTTGGTAACCAGATCATATGAGAAATTCATTTATACTTGCTCTGAGTATTGGATAGTAAATTTTCAGAAACTGAAATGTCTCTAAAATCCTCTTTTAGATCAACTAAGTGAAAAGATTGATAGATTTCAAAATCAGATAACAGCAGTGGAAAAAAGAGTTGTGGCATCTGAATCAGTCCAAACAACAGGCACTTTTATGTATCTCCTAGAAAACCAGCTCACCTACTTGATGAGTAAGAACACTGACTATCTTAAAAGAAACATAATCCCTTGTTTAGAAACTCTTCAGAAGCCTGAAATTTGCAAAGTCAAGCAGAAAAGCTAAACTCAACATATCTTAAGGTATTTTTTATATTAAATTAATGCTGGTGTATAATTAAACCGGCAATATTGTTTGTTAAATGAAAGGTATTTAAATAATTCATATTTATTAGTTTTATTGTACATACTTAGAGTCACTGCTATGTTTTTATTAGGAATCATCATGTGTAAAAATTGTATTGACAATCATTGATGATCCAGACTGAGTGCAGTCTGCACTTTCCATATAATCAATAGACTAAGCATGCATTAAGGAGGCCTATATGAAATACCATTTATATCTTTCTCATAGACTCTCTAAACAGTCTCAACATCCTATTCCTTTCCTATGGCCTATTGATCCTAATGCCTAACTTGCTGAATAGGAGTAAACTTGAATTTCTGCTCTCATTCAAGCCCACATCTTACCTTACTGATTTATAACTAATCCAATCAATTTGGAAGGTTCAAACAACACACTCCAAAATATGCCATGTTTAGTTTTAGTTTATTTAATATTAAACAAAATAAGAAAATTTCATAGTACTTGTAAAGCTCTCTCTCCTACAAATTACAATAAAGATAAAAAAAGAGAAAAGAGAGAGAGGGCTGTTACCATAGTACATAATTCTATTATTGCCAGTCAGTCTATCTAGTGTTAACTATACAGTATGACAATATTAATGTATGGTTAATAATGGTTCTGTGTTCTTTAATGACTGGACCTTTGTTCTGTCTTTAATCGTGACAGTTTACCCTCAGCAGGGTCGTGTGTTTAGTTTTAATATATCTAAAATCTGGTTTAATTTAGAAGTTTCATATAATTAGTGAGCCGATTACCAGCTAGTTTATCTATAGACAAGGCTCTTAAGTTTTTGTTTTTACCGAAAAATTCCTGAGGTTTACAAAAGTTATTCGGTTTTCATCAATTTTCACCTGAATTTTGAGTACATGTATGCAAGTACATGAAATTACTGATTATATTAAGAAAATAGAATAGATTACAGTAGGTAGATGTGTTTATGCTAATAAATTAATTTAATTGTAAATGTGAGGCTGTCTGTAAAGTGAGGAAATGTAGTGGAAGGTACACACATGCAGACATATGGCAGAAACAACTCCCCAGACCCAGCTTCCCTGTGCTGCAAGGAGAGATGGCAGGTTGGTAACTTGGGCAGACCCTATGGGAGCCCAGAAGCATTCCCCCATACCCAGCTCCCCCCCACTCTGGAAAGGGAGAAAGCTGCTTGGTGACGTGGGCGACCCAGGTTATCGAATTGCCATCTCTCCTTCTGGAGTGGGTAGCAGAGTCAGAAGTACTCTTTCTTTTCTCTGTTGCTTTTCTTCTGTTCTCCCATCCCCCAATATTGACCCTGATATTTGCCCAGAAACTCTGAGTTGATTTTTTTGTAGTGTTTTTCACCCATTTTTACTTTTTTTTAATCAAGACATGGGAAATTCTAAAATAAATAAAATCTGAAAATGAAACCTTACCTATGAAAGATACCCTACATTAAGCAAAATGCAATTTGCCATAGATACTGAGAAGGCATTCAATAGGGTTCTTTGGGTCTACATTCTTTTAGTACTAGAGAAATTTTGGCCTTCATTATCTGTAAGTCTCTGTATACATTCCTTTATTTGAACAGATCCCGATTAGAGACATTCTCCTGAAAAAGTGGCACAGCGCAAGGATGTTCTCTTACCTCTCCTGACAGGTTTCTCCACCAAACCACTTGCAATAGCTTTAAGAGATTCAGAGCATCATAACATTCATGAGGACATGATTATTGGCTGTGCAGATGGACATCCTATTATATTTCAGTGAAACACAAGCTTCCATTCTATACCTTAAATAATTCTTAAAGGCGTACAGGACTATGTTTTGAGAGCTGAAGCGAGTGACCTTTCAATGAAATGCTAAGTACTTTCTTATGCTGATGGTCCCATGAAGAATTCAGGTGTCAAAGGAGCACAACTTTTACCCAGTTTAACTAAACTGATAATGTTAAACCTGCAACCCCTTTTATACACTTGCCCTTCAAAGGTGGCATAATTTAGCATTATCTATGTTTGGATGAGTTAACTGGATTAAAATTAATGTTACCTGAGTACGATAGTACCCACAAGTTTTTCTAGTACTGCTACCTGGTTGGTATAAAAAAAGGAGTAGATAAAATGAATATGCTACAATTTTTATAGCTTGAAAAGTGCCCATAAATCCATTTGCTGAGGTTTAAAAGAAAGAAAACATGCAAAGATACTAACACCCTCCCTGTCATTGCAATCTGGACAACTGTAATTTAAAATGTTTGGAACAGGTTGGATTTTACAGAAAAACAGCTCTCCAGGGCAAAACATTGAAACAGTTTGTTACTTTTATTCTTTCCAACTTGATTTATGACAGATACTTGTCTCCCTCAGGAGACCAGACAAAATCCTATCCTAGGGAACATTCTGCAAATATGGAGAAAAATAATTGGGTACCTTGGTGTAATGCCAGAACTCACAGTGCCTTCCTGGATGTATGGGCAATCAGGTTTTCCTCCAGGACTGGATGATGCTAACTTTAAACGATGAGATGCCAAAGGTCTGTGAACCATTGGAGATATTTTC